TCTCTAGTGCGATTTAACTGAACTAAATAAGGCAGGTGTGAAAGCACCTTAAAATATAAAAAACTAGAACTAAAACTAGATTAAAATTTGCTGTCAAAATAACACCGATCTCTACTCTGATTAGGGTTGTAACAATATACCGGTATGACGGTTTACCACGATTTGAACGTGCACGATTATCATACCATGAACAATTGCATATCAACGGTTTTAACCCTTAAAGACCGAGACAGCCGCCCGCGGCTAAAAATAAGTATTGCTCTTAAATGTTTAATAACTTTTGATACGCTGATCCGATTCATACAATTCAAAGATTGGCATAAAGAAGAGAATCTTAGCTTTCCAGTGCTGTATCACATAATATTCGCGGACTTTCAGAGGCTCCGGAATCAGTGCGGTTACGTCATCAACATTTGACAACGCTGATTTGACAAAGAAACGCTCGTCACTGTGTCTCCGGACAAATCAGACATGATACATTGATGCATTGTCCCTCCTCCATGCCCAGATTGGTTCAAACTCGCTATATCACAACCAATAAGCATAGGTTTCGCTTTTGTTTGTGGACCAAGCTTTTTGAACAACACGGAATGAGAGATAGACATACATTTATGCGCGGCTAAATAAAACGCTAAAAAAAAGTTTTGCATGAAATAATTCTCATACTAAGTACTTTTGCATGCACAGCAGCACAGAAACATGACAAAACAGTGACACAGCAAAGACGAACTGCTGCTCTTGCTGTTTTCAAAAGACGCAAATGAAGATGCAGCGGTTTGTCAGTCTGCATTGCAGACAACCATATCCAAATCCATATCCACAGACAACCATATCCATGCTGGCACATAAAACCTAAGGATGTTCCATATTGAATCTAGTTTAGTTATGTAACTATTTATAGTATAGTAAATATTTATATCTATTTTTTACTGAGGATTTGCACCATGTTTATTTGGACTTTATTTGGACTTTGACACATTATTTATTATTTTCTTATTTCTTTATTTGTTCATTGTAAGTGGTGTTGTTTATAGTAACTAAAAATATATTATTTGGAAAAAGTCAAATTTGCTTCACTGTTCTATTATTTTGTAACATTTGTAACATACCGTATACCGCGAAACCGTCAAACCGTGGTATTGTTTTAGATGATTATCATACCGTGAAAAATTCATACCGTTACAACCCTAACTCTGATTATCTGTTAATTAACTGTAGATTTTATTCACAGTTGTGAATGGCATTATGGGAGGTTGATCTCTGCTCTGTCGACTTTTAATGTTAAAAATTCAACTGTACAGCTTAACAAAGAGACTTTTAGTGACATTATAGTAGTTTTAAATAATATAATGTGTACGAAATAATACATAGAGAGAAATAAGTACTGGTAGTTTATTACAAGTTTTTTGTAGCGTAATTTACAACACCAACTCAGACAATATAGCACTTTAAACAACTCAAAATGCTAATAAGTCCCTTTTTTGAGCTTTTTAAGGTTAAAAGTTGTTGGAAGAAAGATCAAAGTCCTATAATGCAATTGAAAAGGATAAATAAATAGGGAAAAATAACAGATAAAAACATAAATCAGAAAACTACAGATTTTTTTTTTTTTTTACAGTGTAGGGAAATGTTTAATGTTTGAAAAAACTTTTGCAATATCGCATAGTATAAAGCAGCCGTAATCTGCGCCAAATAAGATTACATTCAATCTAAATCAAGCATTAACTATTCAACAGCGTCACTCAAGCACCTACAGTAGATACTGAATGTATGCATAAATATTTGACACTTCTAAAAAGCCAAACGTGACAGGTTAAAAACCAAAACACACATTGGCTCGCATTGTATTCTGCAGGTGTGTGTGTGTGCACGCAAGTGTGATTTAAGCATGAATGAGGGGGAAAATAGAGCACAGTCTGTCTGTTTCTGGCCAGCTGCCTGTGGCAAAGGATTGTGTCTGTCCTCCGTCAATCTCTTTTCTCCTTTCCTCTGCCCTAAAAACCAGCTCTCAGCACATCTACTGCCTCAGCGCTAATCATTTTACATTAGGCATAATGGCAAATCTAATTTATAGAGATGCAGTGAAACAGACATTTGACCAATACAGAAAGCAGATAACCAATAGGAGGAGTGAAAACAATATTTTTGATTAAAAATAAATTCAATTGACTCAACTACAAAAAAAAAAAAACGAATTAAATCACTAAATAAATATATAATATATTTAGGGGTTGAACGACTCCAGATTTAGTTGCTGATGAAGTCATCAATAAAACCGAAGATGCAGACATTTAGCAACACGCCACAGTTTGCGAACTATTTGCAGTGAAATACATAAACACAAATGCTGTTTGACAGCTCATAATACACTGCAAAACAATTCAACATTACCAATGACTCTTAGTGGACAACTAATGCATGGTCAACACTGTTCATTTCGTAAATAGTGCAACATTAGCATCCGGGCTAATTTGAGTGCAAAATAAATGCAGTCAACACATTGATCATAGTGCACGGACTACTAAAAATGTAACAATAACAGATATTTTTAGTGCAATTCATGGCAGGTTATAACAACATAACGCAGGAGTAACAAAAGGCGTCGACTCTGTCAGACCTGCTCAAGGCAGATTTTACCGTTTTTACAGCGCAGGTCAAAATTCGCTTTAAACTCTTGCTCAAGTCGTGCCTTTTTCACGGTTACTTGCTCATCTTGGTTATCAGACATCTCCTCTCACTACATGCATCTTCCCCGAGTTTACCTGGGCTGATGTTCGCACAAAGTTTGCCACAACTCTTGACAGTTTCTTTCGGTGTGTTGTACGGTTCGTTCACAAAGCATGTCAACATGTCACAGAGGACAACAGCCAATCACATTACTGTTCCAGGGTTGCGTAAACACAATTGGCTATTATCTGCCCAAGGGTATTTGCATGACGCAATCTAACTGGCTGACGATTTAAAGTTTACTCACAGTTGAGGTAAAACATTGACGCTGACAGAAGAAAAACAACATTTAAATTAATTTCAATAATCCGAGGGCAGTTTCATTCGGTGAACCTACATTAGTGTGTACAGCTGCCATGATGTTCAGGTCAAACCACGTGATATGCCCAGCGCGACTATTTGACGTCAATCAAAAAGCGTCGCAGCAGAGCATTAAATGTCGACTAGTCGGTGAAACCCTGAATATAATATAATATAATATAATATAATATAATATAATATAATATAATATAATATAATATAATATAATACAATATAATATAATATAATATAATATAATATAATACAATATAATATAATACAATATAATATAACAAAATATGGGGGTTTTTTTGACCATGTTAAACAATATTTTGCGTGTTCAAATAGGCACAGAGTCAATATTTGTATTCTGGCATATTTTTTTATAAGAGTGTGTTTTGTATCTTCACTGGTTAAGGTCGATCACTGATAAAAAAAAATACAGTACAGCAGGTGATTCACTGCATCCTTCATTCAAATAATTTGTTCAAAACCACTGATTCATTTACAAAAACAAAGCAAGCGATCATCTTAATGAATGCATCTTTGACTTAAATAATTGGTTCAAATATAGATTCATCCAGGAACAAAATTCCCTTCGCATTGGGATGCACAAATTTGCTCCTGCTTTCTTTGAACTGTCATTGGTGAAACCAAAATAAGACAATATTGTGTCTAAAATGTAACTCCCTTGATGTAAAATATAAAACCCACATAACATTTACGAATACTTTTTTGATATTATTAAATTAGATCATCCATTACCAATATGAAAACCCTATACAATTACCACTGGCCTGCCTGGTTTGGGACTTGTGAAGCTTCACATCAATAGATTTGCTCTTTAGTGTTTGGACTTTCAGCAGTGAAAATTAAACCACACTGAACTGAACTTCAACTCTGAAAACCGGACTGACTATTTCAATCTACTAGAACTTCTATGTACAGCTGCTTTGACACAATAAACATTGTAAAAGCGCAATAGAAGTAAAGATGAATTGAACTGAATATACAACGTATACACCTAAAACCATCATCTAACGCCATGTTAATAGGCACATAGTAACACTTGTATTATAAATGGGTATTAAAAAATCAATACATGCAAACAAAAATCATATTTCCAAAGCTGCCATAGCAAAAGAGAAATAAAAATAAGGCCTTTATCATAAAACTGATAATAAAGATGTCTAAAAGTGTCTAAAATATTACATATTCATGTTAATTTCCATTTAAATACAGTCCTACAGTTCCCAGCGTAACAATTTTGAACCAATTCTAGCTTTCGTTTTGAATGCACACCATCATTGTAATTTTGGCTCAGCTCTGAAAGTGTTTAATATAATATAATATAATATAATATAATATAATATAATATAATATAATATAATATAATATAATATAATATATAACATAATAAAATATAATATAATATATAACATAATAAAATATAATAAAATATAATATAATATAATATAATACAATGTAATATAATATATTACAATACAATATAATATAATATAATACAATACAATATAATAAAATATAACATAACATAATACAATATAATATAATATAATATAATTTAATATAACAATAAAATATAACATAATAAAATTAAATATAATAAAATATAATAAAATATAATATAATAAAATATAACATAACATAATAAAATATAATATAATATAACATAATAAAATATAATATAATATAACATAATATATAATATAATATAATATAATATAATATAATATAATATAATATAATATAATATAATATAATATAATATAATATAATACAATATAATATAATATAATATGTGGGATTTTTCCACTATGTTAAACACTATTATGCTGAGTGTTCAAATAGTCACCCAGTAAATACTTGTATTCTGTCAAGGCATATTTTGTTTTGTGAACTGACAACAAAGATGTCTAACAGAGACTAAAACATTACATACCCAATCCATGCTAACTTCCATTCAAATCCAGTCCTACACTTCCCAGCGTAACAATTATGAACCAGTTCAAGCTTTCGTTTTGAATGCACACCATCATTCTAATTTTGGCTCGGCTCTGAAATTCCCACGACTGTCTGAAGGGATCTTTCCCCAGGATACTCACTGTGATGACAGCCTTGCTGAGGCAGAGGGAACCACGGCAGCCATACTCCCGCTCGTCCTGGGATTTGTAGTAACTCAACGTGTTGTTCTTTAGAACGACCCAGCGGTCCTGCCATCCATGAATGTAGTTAGTCCACTGTGGAGGGAACAGAAAAGTCACAATTATCAGAAGAAAGCAAAAGATGGAAGGATAAATAAGTATGGGATTATAATTACTATTTTGGGCTGCATAATATTAGGAAAAATACATACATTAGAGTATTTTACCAAATTTGAAAAAAATTTGAAAAGATTTAATCATTTTAAAACCAATTACAAACATAGAAAATACAGTAGAGCAAATATACAAATCAAAAGAAAGTCTAGAAGTATTCAGATACAGAAATAAAATAATCAAGTGCACATTAAAACTGTATAGTCTGTATTGTTTAAATAATTAAGTAATCCTTTGGTTAAAAATGGAATAATTCCTTGTGCTCAAATGCTTTAAACTCTACTTTAAAATTGCTTAGTCACAGGCCTTAAAACAGACACAATCCATAAGCTTTCACTGTATTATGGTTAAAATGAATTGTACCTGGTCAGCTACAATCCTGACTCTGCAGTACAGATGCTGCGATGCGACTATTACAGACTCACACATCGCAATATCGATGTTAAAACGATATATTGTACAGGCCTATATTATTATCATCATTAACAGACCATTCCAAAAAATAAATTACTTGGAGTACAGTAAAAATCAGCTATTTATATAGAGTTATATATAGTTATATATAGAGACAAGAAATGCTTAAGAACTATAAATGAACACACATTTGAAATCTAATCCAAATGTTAACCAACATGCACGCAACCATATTGATTCATGAAAATAAACGCATGACTTTGTCCAAAGCACCATTGAGAGTTTTATTATTGAATTTATAAACATCCTCCAGTTGGGGGATGGGTTCAGGTCATCATGTGGAATAACAGTGTAATCTCTCGTGGAATATGCTCCTCTCATCACAAAAGCAGATGATCGGCTGACTGAGTCATGAGGAGAGGTTTTCTCGTTTAATCCCATCAGGAAGACAAGACGAGCAGATGAACTCTAGTAACCCCGTCTAACTCCAGCTTCAGCACTTAACCTGCTGCATCCCTTCTCAATTATACTGAGTGACTACACAAATACGAGCACGAAGAAAGACATTTATGGCTCACATAATATATATATATATATATATATATATATATATATATATATATATATATATATATATATATATATATATATAAATACTGACTAAAAGAACCTTGAGGCATAAAATAAATGAATAAACAAACCTGTTATAATACGAGAAAACAATAATCTATTCAAATTGTTAAGTATTGATGCCCTGTTTTTGACATGTGCATAATTTAATTGTGAAACCGATGTGGTTGGGCAGTAATGAGAGCATAATGAGAGTCACCACTGAGCAACGGATCTGAAGTAAAACATGGTGCATGATACTGTAATGTGAAACAGGTACACACATGTGTAATCGTCGTGAAAATGTCGCCATGTTAATCAAACACAGCGATCCTCCTTCACTTTTTTATTATAGTATCTTTTCAGACCTTCTCCGTGACATTCGGCCAACTGACTGACGTTTGTTTACATCGGATCAGGTGGAAACACACACTAAAAACATTGGCTTTTCTGGTTTGGGAGGCGATGCTCGAGAGCTGAACCCACCTTGCTGAGCACCCCGCTGAATTC